GACTTTCACACTGTGTCTCCAAATAAATGGAAATAAATTTTTTTCATTCCAATCCAAATGGCACCCTTTTGAGCTGGATATGTGCAGAAGTTTAAAAAGAATGAAAACAACAAAACAATAACCAACCAAACCCCTCAGAAATAAACCAACAACTCTTTATTTAAAGAGTACTAGGAAACTTTCATGGTTGAGGTGTTGGGTTTTTTTTTTTTTTCTCTCTTGGTTGGTTTGTTTCTTTTTGCATCAAGGCTATTAAAATAGCTGTTTCCCAGATGCCCAACCTCATAATTCCGTGAATTGTTTGAACTGGTATTATTGGGGAAAAAGAAAGTTGTTTGGTTCTCCCTGCACTTTGAGCAAGCTCGTGTTTTCCCCTGTTATCAGCACAAATGTTGAGTGTCACCTGGTGGCAGTTACTCCTTCAGCTTTGCTGGTAGCACTGTACGCAGCAACTGGTTGTCTGAAAACTGGAGACTGGGTCCAACCATGAAACCAACCACCCTAACTTTGGTGTGTTGTTTCAAAGTCTTGAGCAAAACCAGTGTGCCTCGGTATTGACCACAAGGAAAAGTCAAAAATTAAGAAAGGACAACATTGTATTTGTATTACTTTGTATTACCAAGTTCGTGCTCCTGACGATTGAAAAGTTGAGGAAATTCAATTAGGGACACAATTTAACATTGTAATTTGGTAAAGCGGTGGGCTGCTGAAAGGTCTGATCCCTCGGCGAGGAGAGAGAACTGTTCCAAATACTGTGTTGAAAGTTACGAGGAGAACAAATAGTGCAAGGAAAGGAGAAAGGACAAACAAACTGAATGCTTTTAACCTTTTTAAATCTACCTCAAAATACAGTTCTAGGAAGATTGCTGACTTCTGAAAATCCAATTTTGGAAACCTTAGAGAATGCTAAAACTGCAGTGCTGTGCCTTGACAGATGCAGAGATAAATGGTGCTATATCGAAGCAAAGTATGCTTGGGAGTTCAGGAGTAGTAAGCCTGTGTTAGCCTCTTGAAAAGAGTATAGTGTGTTGTTACGGTTCTTATTGCTCTTTGTTTTGAGTAGCTGCTTTGTTGCTTGATGGAGAATCTGTTTTACATTCTGTTCTTTCACAATGTATGAGCCTATTTCTTCCTATAACTCAGTTTTCTGTGATGTCATGAGCCCAAGTCCAGAGGCTGTTTTCTAATATGATGAAAACCTAAAGATAAACGTTTTTGCTTTTTTTTCTTTTTTTTTTTTAATAGCACTCTCTCTTCTAAGTGAGCTTTATTAAAACTTAAGGAAGAAGGCTGTTTATACTCTTACCTAAGTAGCCTAGTAATAACCTAATCTAGAGAGATTTCAGTGTTAAATAAGCAGAAGTTAACCATTATGCATATTAAACTTACAAAGTGCTTAGTCTCTGGGGTAATATTAACAAGAACTGATTTTTTTCTAGTAATTTCCAACAACATACTTCCAGTTCACAGTATTTGAATGCTAGGTGACACAGCCTTTTGGGCAATAAACACTTGTTTTTCTGTTGTGTTTGTTGTCTGACTTTGTGTCCTTGGTATGTTTCAGGGATGATGCTGTACTTACAAAATTTTCAGGTAACTAGCAGATACTTTTTGGCATGACTTCCAGAATTAAAATACTTAAAATAAATAATGTTGGGATATTCTAGATGGCGTCTGTTGAAATGAGAAGCTCACAGTGTGTAAGGATATATCCAAACTTGAAGGATGTGTGCAGGTATACTTAAGTATGCAAAAAACCAATTTCTCTCCCCTGTGGTAATTGTATGTTTAAGAAAACAAATATACACAGTTGTTAGTGGGATAAAAACCAGAATTAATTTTCAATTATTAATATTTAGTGTATTATGAATTTTTAATAATTTTAAAAATAATGGTATTTTTCTTGTTAGCTATTTAAACTGACAGAGACATGAGGCTTCGTGAAGAGGTTCTTAAATGGCTTTTAAGAGTAGCAGTCTTATTTAGGTTCAAAGTTTTGCTTCTGCTGATGTGGCAGATGATCGAAAGGTTTACAGTATCTGATATTGTAATCTCCTGTGAAAAAAAGCAGTGAAAAAAGAAAAAAATTCACAAAATGTTTTTAGGAAGCATTTAAAGAAACAAGTGGAGTTTCTAAAAAGATTACAAAATAGTTACCAAATATCCCCAGTTCTGCCCCCCACACCCCTCCAGTCCTTTTGTGCAATCCATCTCTGTGTAGCTGAATCCAGAGTTGCCTTGCCCTAATGAGTGGATGTGCTGGCCATGGCACACTTCTTGGCTCAGCTGAAGGAAATCTTGCCATTGTGCAGGGAGAAGGGGAAAAGGAGCCACTGCTACATGCACATAGTGTATTCCAGACTAAGCAAGAGCATCTTTTGGTCTTGCCACGCACTTGGCCTCTCTCACTGTGTTGGCCCAAGGTAGGCATTTCAGTTTTCACATGGCTGGGAGATAACTCCTGTAGTTTGGGTACCTAGAAGTTTACCTAAGATATGGTGGACTGATTACTATATTTAGTTAATGAGAGAGTTTTGCCAGCCTCAAGAAATTACTTGTATATCTTAATTTCCCTCTGGCCAAAGCTTTAGACAATGTATTAAAGATCATTTGAGCATGAACTTTGTTTAACTAATAGTGAAAATAAATTCCACAGTTAGTTCTCCATTAATAATGTTTAAACATTTGAATCAAAGGAGTGTTAGCTTGAATGACATAACTGGTCCCATTTGGTTTAGTGCGATGAGGGAGGAAGAGCGAGAAATCCAGATGGAAAGCACTGAAGCCAGGAGTGACTTCATCTGTTTATACCTTGAATGATGCCCAGACTCAATACTTGCCTGCATTACAATGATGCTAGCATTATCATAAGTTTCTGGAGGAGGAAAAAACCCGAAAAACCAAACCAAACCCAAACCCCATAACCTGACAACAACCCACCCCTCTACCCCACCACCACTGGAACTCTGAGTTCAGGTTTTTGTAATAAGAATTGTTTACCAGACCTGTGTTGTGCAATGTCTGAGCACACAACACGTGTACACTATATTGTCAGTTCACTGTAAGTGTGCAGTGTGAACCATTCTTTTAATAGACTAGAATTCCTAACTATGTAACTATACACTTGAACTTCCACAGTTAGGGTAGCTTACGTGTAAATCAACAGTAGAATTTTGAAAACTGAAATCATGAAATGCTGTTGTTTTAATACTCTCCTAAAATATGGTTTGAAATTAAAACTATTTTTCAAAACGACACATTTTGACAGAATGACATCCAAAGCAGGATGGGGACTGACTTAATGTTCTACCAGACGGCTGCTATCAATAGCACTTTTGGGATGAATCGTTTTCATGTCGTAGGCATCATAATATTACAAACAACTAAATTCTAAGATTCAGATATGAGTCTAATCTGCGAATAAGCATTTGGAAACCTTGAGTTATTAGTATGTGTTCTGGCTTGAGGTAAAAAAGAACCAATTTATTTTTCAGTAATTTCAGACGATGTGGCTTAAGTGTGTTCACGTGGCGATTCATACGCATAATGTCAGGTTTTCTACTCAAGTCTCTAGCAAAATCCCTTAAAATATAACTGCTCACAGTAAACATGCAGAAGTATATATAACTAGCTTGTTTCTAGATGAAGTATGAGCAGTGCTGCACATGTAGTTCAAGGTTTAAAAGGTAACATGTCATTTTTACTCTATCAGCCATGGGGTATTTTTCAACGGGCACAGAACAAGCACACTTTGGTATCACTCAAGAGTGCAAGGGAGAGATCTTGACACCACCAAAACCCAGTAACTATGTTCCATGATTAACAGAGCCTCATTCTGTGTGCTGTACACCTTACTCAAGCAGACGTGACCACTGAACTTTTAAGTTACCACGTCTGGATGACACCAGTAGCTTGGCAAACTTTAAGAGAGCAAGAATTTATTGTTAATCATGATCTAATTTCTACAATCACAAATCTTTCTTTCTCTTTATTTGACGTTCGTGATGGTAGAAAAGCTTTCTTTTTTTTTTTAAGCTTTTTTTTTTTTTTTTAATATTGAGAAGCAAAACATGAAATCAAATCATCCAGTTAGGGGACTTCAAATGAACAGTCATTCACTAATCTTTGTATTGCTTATGGGTTAGCCCAGTTTATTTATGCTGCAGTGGAAGAGTTTGGACTCATCTTCTCATTTGTAAATTACCACTACCTCAGTACTTCAGTGTTGTACCTAGACCTATTTATTGAATTTTCATTTAAAATCACTGCAGTGCTCATGTTAAATTTGCCTAGACCGATATTAACCAGTAGGTCTAACAGAAAGGAATTATTTGAAGCAACCTGATGAGGAAGAAGATAACTACCACTTTCAGCGGATATACTTGAATATAAGTGCTCCTTTAGTACATAACTGTTCTTTTTGTCCCCAAGGAAAGGTTTGCTTAGGTTCTCAAACACTGAGTAGAAAACTGTCTTTTCTTACTAAAAGAAGGCTTGTATATTTTATGTATGTATATAACTTAATAGATCTTAGAATATTATCTAGTTTTGGAGTAATTTGCAGTACCTCAAGAGTATCGGCATTGCATTTCAAAAATAGTTTTAAATGTAGCTAGTTAACATCTTTTTAAATCAAAGATACAACTGTAGAGGTGGTATCAACAGTTACTGTTAAGTAGAAAGGATGGGAGGAGGAGGAAGGTTATCATTGAACATTTATTATTTTCTTAAAAGAATAAACTTGAAAGGCTTGTTTTATTTATGCATTCAATGTTTCACATGTTGTGAATTGAAGATTTGGGCTTCTATGATAAAGTCAGATCATTTGCAGTGAAAACCATCTGCATCCAGAAATCTCTACAACTTCTTCAAGGGACTGTTTGCTACATGGAAGAACTCTACATTATATTACTAAATCATAAAAACTTTTCTTAAATTCAGATATTTAATTTGTTGAGTGAAGGTTTGTAAGTCTTCTCTCTGTTTCCAAAGGAGGTGGAATGGCTGTAAGTCCTCAAATAAATAATGCTGAAGTTTATGAGAATTTTCATTGCTAACTTCATGGAGACTAGGCTTTTACCTGTGGCGTGTGTGTTTATATACAGGCACGAATGTTTGATATCTGAGAATATTCTTTATTTGCAATGTCAGATATATGGCTTTATGTATTGCATTCATGCTTTGTAAATGTTGTATAAGTAGTGAGTAGATGTTGAGTCCATTGCTTAGAAAAGACCTTCTGTGATACATTATTCTGAAATATTTCAGATTTATAATTCTGCAGATTAATATTTCATATAGTTTCTTTTTTCTTTGTTTCCTATAATGCCCTTCTTCAGTTTGTCTTGAGCTGCAAGAAGGCCTAGATTAAAAATCTTTCCTTTAAGGCTTTCCTTCTATGAAGCAGTTTGTTTATTTCTGGTGCAAGGTGTCTCCAAAGGATGTTCCTGTAGTTATGACAAACAGAATCATTTTGTATGTAACCTTTTCTTGCACAAATGACTCAGTCACGAGAGTGTAAGCTTATTTTCAAAAGTACAACAAACAAGAACTGGGGATATTTGGTAACTATTTTGTAATCTTTCTAGTTTCATAAGCCTATCCTGACCCTCTTTAAGACTTGGTCACTTAAGGCTTCTTTTTGTATTTTAGTCATATTTCACAGTTTAACAAATCTCTTAATACTCTCTTTGTGGTAATGGGAAAAGCTACAAATGTTAGGTGTTGGTTTGATGTAAATGGTTTCCTGTAACTTACGAAACGGCAATCATCTTAGTTGCCTCTAGGTTCCCTCCTTAACAGCATGTTTCAGATAGAAATGACTTGTGCTATTACAGACCTCTCTTATCGCTGAGGATGTATAGAAAGAACAAGTTAACTTTGCTGGTCACTATTCATAGAAAAACATTCAAAAGAGACTTATCTTTCCCAATAACCATATGGTTTTATATACTCAGTTTAACTAGTGATTTTTTTTTTTCTTTGCTAAGGTGGCAGTTCCACTTTTAATACTTACTCTCCATAACTGTAATAGGAACCTAGTAAAACTGATGATGGCTTTTAGAAATGTTTGCATGTTCCAGAATATTTATGTTCCTGTCCAATAATTTTTAGAAATATTTTAATCTTATTCCAAGCTCTTGTACTTTTGATGAACCAAAATACTGTCCAAAGTCTGTATGACAGATAATACTGATGTTGAAATTGTTGAGTTTAACAAAACAAGTTCAGCTGATTTCCTGGGAGATCTCTGAAAGATCCTTTGTTAGTAACAGAGATGAAAGCTGCAGAATTGGAGCTGGAATCAGTTTATTCCATCTCTATACTGTGTGTTCATTTGTCTTTAGTTTCAAAAACTATTAACACTTTTTTCTATTTTTCTCCCTCCTCCCCCAGGGAGGCAATAATGCAGGGCATACAGTTGTTGTGGATTCTGTGGAGTATGACTTTCATCTTCTGCCAAGTGGGATCATCAATCCAAAAGTCACTGCATTCATTGGTAAGCGGGACATCTCTAAAAATTAGACAATACTGTAGTTACAGACTTCTGGCATATTAAAATAACAAAATATATCTGAGAATGTACAGGATCAGGATTTTTCTTCCTCAGATCCTCATAGGCTTGAACTGCTCTACTATCTTGTTAGTATTGTCTTAACTCAATTGTGAATTTTGGATTACGGAGGTTTCTTTTACTGTCTTGGATAATTCATCTTTGTTCTTATCTGTCCTATCGATGCAAACAGCTAGCTGCCCAGCGTGCCTTCATTTTCCCATTCCCTCTTATTTTCTCTACCAATTATTTCTTTTATTCTCAGGATTCCTCCTCTCTGTTTTCATCTTCAGCCCTACTAAGTAACTACCAGTACCTTTTGACCTATCAACACTTCCATCCTGCTTTTTTGATACCCAGAACTCCTGTCCCTTACACAGTGTACTTCTCCAAATCAGGACTATATTGTTGTGTTCTTCCTATCACTTCTTCCTGCACCTCTCATTGCTTTGAACCTGTAGTCTTGCCTCTCAGCTTGGTACACTTGCCAAGAGTTAAGTGGTCATTGACAGTGTGCTAAACAGCAAAGCAACTAAAGAGCCTCTGTCACTAGTTACTTGACTCATGAACAGTACTTGCTGGATTCTTGGGTCTGACTTGTAGTGACTGTATACTCGCAGTCAGCATTAACTCTTTACTTGGTAGGACTTGGTGCTTAATTGCCTCTTTTCGGCTGTTATGTTGTGACTTGATTGTGGGATAGTTTTGGATCGACTTGCCCTGCCTAATATTTCTACAGAAATCGAGCCAATGGGCATGGAAATAGATTCCCTCTGATGAAGGCAAGGTTGGGATATTAACTGCTTCTAGTTTTGAGGGCTGTGGCAGATGATACTACTTTTATTCTCTTCAGATGTGCTACTGTATTGTGTTTCTTTAAAAGATTATTGCTTGAAAACAGTAAAAAAGGATGCTCACTTGCCATGTTTTGTTTGGTAGACTCAGGGTGAAGTAGGAAAGACCCCAGCCTTTAAAAGTACAGTAGGCAGGAGAGAGCTTTTTACGAATTCTATTGTCAGTATCTGCTATCTTTTGGCCTTGTCTCAAATCTGAAGTTTGTTCTTCTAGCATCTTTTAGGTTTATGTCATGGTTTTTGTGGTGCAATCCCAGCCAGCAACTAGGACCGTGCAGCTGTTCACTCACACACACCCCACACACCCGCTGCTGTCAGTGGGATAGGGAGATGAAGGAGAAAAAGGGGGGAAAAAAAAAAAAAACAACCCAAATCTTGTTGGTTGAGATAAAGACAGTTTAATAGAACAGTAATGGAAGAGAAAATAATAATAATAATGGTAAAAGAATATACGAAACCAGTGATGCGGTACAATTGCTTACCACCCAATGATAGATTGCCAGCCCGTCCTGAGCAGTGATTGCAGATTCCTGCCCCCCTGGCCAACACCCTTTTGTATACTGAGCATGACATCTATGGTATGGAATATTCCTTTGGCCAGCTTGTCCTGTCTATGCTCCCTCTCAGCTTCTATGGAAAGCTGAAAAAGTCCTTGACTTAATATAAGTACTACTTAGCAACAACTAGAACAATGTTTAATCAGTGTTATTCTCATACTAAATCCAAATCACAGCAGCTACTAGGAAGAAAATTAATCTGTCCCAGCTGATACCTGAACAGTTTGCCTTGTGTTTAAAATCTCTTTTGGAAAAAAAAATAGAAATCTGGCTTAGGATTCCACTGAAAGGGCTTATAGGTTAAAAAAAAAAAAACGGGGGCAAGGGCAAAATGATTGGAGCATTATAATAGGTTATTACTATTGATTAGGACTGTGCCATGAAGGTTATAGTGAAGAAGCCTTAAATATTTTGGTGTTTAGAATGCTGTTATCTATGGGAAATTGGGTGATGTGCAAATAGTTTCAAATGGCAGGTCCCTTCATTCTTTTGCTAAATGTTACATGGATAGCTTTGGATCTAGTGGTCTACTGAGTTTGGTATGACCTTAAGATGGTTCGGTTTTGCTATATGGAAATGCTCCTTTTTGGGCACTCGGTGATACTGGTTAATTGTATGAGCTAGTAGTGTTTTTCTGATCAATGTGACAGCTATACGAAAGCAAGCTTGCTTTTGATAGAGCTTTTTCTTCTGTTTTTGCTAGTTTGTGAACAACCCCAACTCTATATACTGGATATTCTATTTCTGTTTACAGCAGAAGAGTGCCTGAAGGGGATGCTAGTGTATATAATGATGACAGAAATGTGCTAAGCTTTTAAAAAACAATAGGGTTATTAAACTGAAGTACAAAGAGGGAAGTTAATTTTAGATGTGAGGAAGAGGAAGTTGCATTCCGGACTGTCCCACGGTCCTGTTACTGTTTGTCCTGATGTAAAATGAAAGTTTGTTGAGTTTATTTAAAAGATTCAATGTATGTAGTTAGAAACGCATACGTAAATTGGTCTTTTATGGATGGATTCTGAAGAATAAAAATTGCAAAGTTTTGAAAGTTTAAAAACTTAAATAAAATACTGCATACAAAACATGAAGTGTCTGAATTGTTTGGAATATTTTTTTCCATGCTCTACATAATTCATTAAATTTTGTGTAATGGTTTTCTTCAGGAAATGGTGTTGTAATTCATTTGCCAGGACTCTTTGAAGAAGCTGAAAAAAACTTAAAGAAAGGAAAAGGTGAGAAAATTTTAAGATACTGCTCTTAAAATAGTTTGTGGGGCCCTCCTCAAAAGATTTAGATAGAGAATGCCTCTGTAGACTTTACGTATACTGTGTTTTTCCAAAACTCTGTTTAGCTGCTAGTTTCTCACAGGAGCCTCGCTAAAAGTCCCGGGGCCCTCATGGGAAGACAGGCAAAAGGAGTCTCTGTACAGTTTCAGAAGAGGATGTATTCTAAATATGAATTGTCTAAATCTGAGATTTTTTCTTTCCTTAAAGCAGTGAAATTAAGAAGTGAAACAGCTTGTTAAAGTGTTACCTGTTTGTAGTCGGTTTACCTCTTAGAATTTTAGTGTACTGTTTGATGATACATGTTGATGTAAACAAATGCTGTGTATATCACTTCTTGATTCAACTCAGTTTTTGGATACTTTCTGTTATGTCTATGGCCATGCTTGGCAGCAGTCTGCTCTAAGTGAGGTAAATCAATTGTCTAGATTATTAAAAACCAAAAAGCTGCTAACTGATTGTTGAAATTGAGTAACTGGCAGAATAGCTAGAATTCTTCCTCAGAATAAACCTTTCTCAGCTTTATAGGCTGATGCCAAGTTCTAATTATTGAAATTTACTTTTTTTCCCCTCTAGAATGAGATTGCTCAATCTTTAAATAAATTGACTAAAGACTAAACATGAGAAGTATTTATCCTTTATACATCAGAAGACAAAAATTCTATACAAAACATAATTTGAACTATTTAATTTTGTCTTTTAAGGGCTAGAAGGCTGGGAAAAAAGACTAATCATTTCTGACAGGGCTCATATTGGTAAGTTCCTGTTTGTGGTTTGTTTTTTTTTTCTTTTTTGTAAGTCTTTGTTTTCTGTGACCTTTCCATGGCAGTAAAAGCATGACAATTTTTAGCCATCTCTTTATATAGGTATGTACTTTTATTTGGATTAAGTCTCCATGTGCTGCTTTGGTTTATTGAAGATCCTAAAAAAAAAAACCCTCATTCACCAATCAGGACCCTCCCAGGTTTATATTCTAGCAACTCTAATCCTATTCCATAAGCATAACCTAGTCAGGAAAGCAGGTTCACTTTCCAAGCCAAAGATAAGAGGTGCAAAGCAGTCAAAAAGCAGTTCAGAAGTTAATTGACTGAAAGACTCATTTCCTCCTTTGGTGTAAAAGAAGTGTTACTTGTAGCAACCTTTTTGCTGGAAAATCATGTGACTGGGCATGACTCCCAAACTAATGGGCTCCCTGCCAAGAAAATTGCCACATACTTCAGAAAGGAGACTTTATGGGAAGAACTCTATAAGGATTGAGAGAATGGCTGCTGCCCTCCTTGCAGGGAGCTCATCAGTCAGGTGTTGATTGCAGCCTGTGTTCCAGACAACAATGCAGTTCAGAGCCTGGAGTAAAAATGATGTTTTGAGTCGAAACCACCAACACAGAGCTTCAGAGGCTCTTCCTGTATCACTCCTAGAACATCTTTACTACACAAAGTCATCCTTTAAAGTAGATTTTTAGATATTGTAACATAATAATTACATAACTGCATGTATTAGGAAATAGGCTGCTCTGGTAGTCATCTTCTGATGATGTAAACCTTTTAGGTCTTTATCAGATAAAAGCTTATAACACCAGAAAAAAGGTTTTGTTTTTGTTTTTTGGCTTGGTGTGGGGGTTGGTTTATTTGTTTGATTTGGTTTGGTTAATTTTTTTTTAACTGATCTGGAATAGCTTAGTGAATGAACATATTTAAGAATAAATACATTTTTACTTTGGAGTAACTACTGAGTTTGAAATAGTTGAGTAACTGTTTCTAAGTTACTAAAATTCTTTCTGAGATTAGAATCTCTGTATGTGAATTACTTGGAAATTACTATATTAATTGTCACAGAACAGTTTTTCTAATATACTGCAATGGCAATACTGTGAAGTTTTCATAGCTAAACAGGTCCTGAGTAAAATGGACCAGTTATTGACTGTCACTCATAATCATTCACCTCTTAACATAAATGAACTTTCACAGCTTCTGTTTAGAAAATTTTGATGGCAGTCTGGAGATCTGTTGCCATGATAAATATGCCTTCTCTAAAATGGGTATTGATGATCTGTGAATGATTAGTCTGTAACAAAAGATCAACCAAAACCAGGTTCAAGCTGCTGGGGATAATGTAATCCTTTAAATTATGAGGATGTGTGGAAATAAACACAAAAATAAATTGGTAAGGCAAACAAGGAAACCCACTCATTCTAGAGAGACTAGTGTACTTATTAAATGAATCTGTTTCTTGCAAGTTTTCAGTCTTTCCTGTGTAATGTGTAGATTAGTAGAAAAGTTTGGGAGGTAGTACTTAAAAATAAGATGGCTTCTGTTAACCTGCAAACTGTATTTTACATGAGTCTTGTCAGATACTTTTTTTTTTTTTTTGCTTTTATGGTAGATGAAGAATTGGTGCGAGGAATACTTGGCATAATCTTTATCATTAATGATATGTAATGCTTTAAAAAAAATTAGGGCTTGTGAAAGATGACTTCTGTTTACATAACACATTGGTGGGAGCTTTTGTAATTCCCAATGTATTTTAATGTATGTTGTCTAAAATATAAAAATAATAAATAAGAAAACTTTAGAATGAATGAGAATGTTTGTTTATTTAAAATTCCCACCTTGAATTTCAGCAGTATGATGTTTTTTACTAGAACTTGTTTTCCAGGATTTTTTTCACCTGCCTGTTTTTATTGTTTATTGTCCATACATTCTTTTGGGCCATTACAAAGCTGAAATGACTTAATTATTCTGTGGGAGGTGTATACACAGTTTGCAAGTATTCTACAAAATAGACCCTTAAAAAAAGTCTCCGAAAAACCTCAGAACTCTTCCCTTTGAAAAATACTAACTTGTAAAAAAGGACAAAAAACTCTTGTCATCTTGTTTGCCTCTCTTCAGTGTGTATATTTTTGTTTTCCACATTGATAAATAGGGGAAGAGTTAGTTTGAAGAAATTGTTACTGATATGGTAATTTGTTTCACACAAATTTTCTACTTAAGTTATTTTTATTTTCTTAGTATTTGATTTCCACCAAGCTGCTGATGGCATCCAAGAACAACAGAGGCAAGAACAAGCAGGAAAGAAGTAGGTAGTCTTATTTTGTCAAACATAGGATGATTTACTACAGACATATGACTTAATACTTTGGATTTCTGTTGCAGTTTGTCATCGGGGTTAAAAAAAGCATTAGTTATCCTTCTAAGTCTTCAATGTGGAATATGCAGGGATCATTTCTTACACTTTTGTCTTCCAGTGGCTAGCAAAAGATTATATTCTTAAGGAAAGGGTTGTATCTTGATATTTTGCCTTATGAAAAAGTTCTTAGTTGCTAATTTGCTTTATAAAAAGGGTTCCTGCTTCTTAAATGTTTTAATTGTTTACTGGAGGAATTTGTTTCTGTAAAAACGTATTTCTGTTTATGAAGACTGAAGGACCCCTTTGTCATTTCCAAATAACTGAAAGTTCTGATATGACTAATTTGGTATCTCATGATGCTTCATTGTCAGAAGTGCATGTAAACGTTCACATTGTCTACTACATGTTGCTACTGACTTTCTGAAGCTTTTGAAACTTTTAGAGACTAACTGTTATGTTTCTAACTTGTGATTTCCAGGCAGCTTGCTGGTTCTTGGGGGTGGGGAAAAAGCTGGCAGAATTAACTGTGACATGCCTACAGCTGGAAAGTAATGCAGCATTATAGACTTCTGAGATACCAGTAAACTTAATCTCTCTTCTTGGAAGTTTGTCTATGTAGGCGAAAAGTAATTAAGTCTTCCTTACTAAGATCTGTGAAAGGTATCATCCATGACAATAACCTTTAAAAGAGTGTCTGATTTGGGCGTACCTTGCTTCACACAGCTTGCTATTGAGTGATAACTTGTCAATTGTTCTTACACTAGGTCATTTTCACACTCCACTGTGCTGTAACAGCTGTCTTGTTACCTGTTATTTTAGGAATTAAAAGTAAACAGGAAGAACATACATATGCATATGTATGGAAGAATATACATATATTCTATTCTTGAAAGTTTATTAAGTGCAAGCTAAAATTGCTATATGACAATATAAAAACAGTCAGTCTCTCAGCTGCTTGTGAGAAGGAATCACTTTATTAGTTAGTGTTTAAGATTGTAAGGGAAAGCCCGATGAAGAAATAACCACTTTTCTCCAATTATTTTGTTTTAAAGAAACCCAGGGGAAAAAAAGTTACATTCAAAGGTGAAAAACTATATTTGTTCTTTCTTTAGGGTTCTTGAAATTTTGCAACAATCATATAGTTTTCAAGCTTGTTAAAACTGCTGATAGATTGAAAATACGTATCTATTTCCTCCTAAATTTTAAGGCTATCTAAGTGACTGTGGTGGTGGAAGTACTACTACAGGCTATCTAAGAACAGGCTATCATCAACTGATTATCAAAATACTGTCTTCTGTTTGTTGGGGGCGGGGTGGGGAATTAAAATAGCCTGCTACCATGTCTAACTGTAGGTTTGACTGCATAGCATATTTGGCATTAAAATTATTTTGTGTCTAACACTTCAAAGTTGATCATTATAAATAGTAAGGTTTGGGTTTTTTATTTTAACTGAATGCTTTTATCTGTTCAAATGTAGCTCAAAAACTGTCTCAAGTAAGGCTCATGTAGCTTCCCTTGCAGAAAGGTTATAGAAAAGGTAATCTAATATAGTATATGCTTATACAATTGTTTTAACTTCTATAAATACACTCTTCTGACAGCTTAACTCTTTATGAATTGGCATGTCTTAATGAAACAAAATAAATGAAAACCAACTCCTCCTTAAAAAAATTCTCTGTGGAGCGTATGAATTTGGGTGGAGGATGGAGTCAATTATTTAAGCCACAGTGTCCTGGTCTTGTTAAATGAAACTGTGTGATGCAAAATTGATTGTCTTTTTGGACCGGAGGCAAACGTATCACTCTCTGAGGTTACTCAGTATTGAGTCTATTTGGAAGAATTTGTTTTTCTCCAAGATTGTTTTGACTCTACTCCAAACTACTAATGACCTAACTAAAATGAATATGTACTGATTATGAACTGTATTTCGGTTCACTCAAATATCAATTTATAGCCTTTAACCTAAAGTTTAGATATGACCTGTATGTTCCACTTGAAATGGAGTCCCTCTTGAACCGAGTTATGGTATGGCACCTTCAAGGCAGTTTGACGAAATGTGGGCCACTCTGCATATACAGAATTTATAATTGAAGAAGATAAGGCTTTGTGTGTCTGCTCGGGGGGCGAAAACCGAACACAGAGCAATTAAAACTAAGTGCAAAACTAAGCTTAGCACTGTACAGCAGGCTTCTGAGAATGCTGCACAACCTGTTCACTTCTCCTTAAAAAGTTACTTAATCTTTTGAGAGCGATGGGGAAGATGTTTGATAATCTGCCTATGATGAGTGCAGTTTGGCTACATTTTGATAGCTATTTAGCAAGACTGGCAGAAGATGCTTTCTGAACTAGTTGTACTTCTGTGACAGTACAGTGCAAGCAAGTTGTGTCTTGTGATATCACTGACTTAAGCTGGAAAAGGCTTTTCAGGCAGAGTAGGGAGGTAAGGGTAAGAAAAAGAATTCAGGTTTTCAGAACTGGCTGCTGTGGAACCCTTTCTAACTTACAGCATTTTGAGTCCCGTTGTCACTCTTAGGTACTCAACAGTGTTTTCTATTTTCCTGGCTCCTACCGAGGCATTTAGAGTCAAATGAAATATTTCTTATATACAAACTTGAAATCCATACTGTTTGTGCTGTTGCTTTATGCAGGACTTTCTTTAGGTCTTCAGGACAGTTTTTTAGGAAGGTGGTTAGTTAGTTTCAGTTCGTAGTACTGGAGGATGTCATCTTGGCATTCAGTTCCTAAGTATAAAAGTTGGGAATTATGTACAAATAAATACATAAGAGTTCGCTAAACTATGAGAAGATACTGGTTTAAAACCGGAATTATGTAGATTAATATGTTTATTCTATAAACAGTGATATTCTGAAACTAAGTTGCATACTAAAAGTATTTCATGTTTTAAATGTGTAAAACAAGATTCTAAATGCTCACAATTAACAGCATTTCATTTTATGCTAAGGATGTATTGGCTTTAAGAAAAAACACCTTAGTTTAATATCAAGAATAACTCCTGTTATTATCTTTTCAAAGTTTGGGAACTACCAAAAAAGGAATTGGTCCAGTATATTCTTCAAAAGCAGCTCGAAGTGGACTCAGAATGTGTGATCTTGTTTCTGACTTTGATGAATTTTCTGAGAGGTAATTTCTGTATTTTAATGCACAGTTATAAGCATGGTTTTCAGTTTCTGGGTAGTACCCTGTGTAAGCAATTACATCTGGTTGCTGTTACTTTTTAAACTAAAACTTATTTTAAAATATGAAAAAACGTTATTAAATTACCTATTTATATTTATTCAGATATTTTACTGTTTGAAATTGTTTAATCACCAAATAATTGCAGATACGTAACCAGTAAAACCTAAGGTTGGTGGGGGTGTGAGGAGGAAAATAAGCAAAAATCTTAGTGAAGCATTTTTGCCTTCCAGGTTCAAAGTGTTAGCCAATCAGTACAAAGCGATATATCCTACCTTAGAGATAGATATTGAAGGGGAATTGGAAAAGCTCAAGGTAAGCCTACTTCAGCCTGTTAAATGATATAATCACTGTGTAGTTACTGATATGTAAATCTTTTGGTGACTGACGCTTGTGTGAGGAGTTAAAACATAGTACATATCACAAGAAATTGGTATGTATCAATTTTAAAGAGTCTGGTAGCATTCTTAAAGACACTTTTGACCTCACTTTATGCAGCATTTCAAAACTTGGTTTCAAGAGAAATACTGTAAAGCTTAAGAAAAAGGCTTGTATAGGGAGAATTATTTTGACTTCCACTTGCTCAAACATACTGGCTAGGAGAAAAATACCCACGATTGTAGTTGGGCAAGGTATGTTTCGTCATAAAGCAGAATATTAATTCCTTGTATCAGGAACTTAAGAACTGACGTAAATTATTTTTCTAATAATAATAAGCCTTAAGGAAAAAAAATGCTGTCTAACAACATAGAGAAATGTAAGTTGATAGCAGCAGAACTAATGAAGCCTGATTGCTGGCAAGCTAGTGTTGTGGTTAATTATGAATTCTGATTTGATGCTTTCCCTGCAATTGGGACAGTTGTGAGATTTCTCACTAGTATTAATTCTCTTATGCCTAATAATGCGATTTTTGTGGTGTGCCCAAGTTCTTATTTGGGGAAAAAAAAAAAAAAGTCAGGTGTCTTACCCTTACCCAGCCTTTTTGTTGATGCATTTTATAGAAGCTTAACTGTATGATATTTTTTTTTCCCCCCTTAGAAAACTTCAACTAAATTTGGCAAATTGTTTAAAACCATTGAGGTTTGTGTGGAACAGGGGAGGGGGTGCACAGTTACATGTTTATTTTTTTCAGAAAATCAGGCCAAAAAAATCATCCTTCTTGTATCTTCAGTTGCCACTGAATCCAGTTCACCAGCACTAGAATGGAGTATATGGGAGTTCTTAACACTTCTGTTTGTCTTACTTTTAACCATATCTGTTACCTATGTTGAACTGTAGTATTTTTATCAATATGTAGACCTAAAAATCAGCTACAGTTGAGTGTTTTATAATGCTTTATAGTTTACTTAATACACATTAGGATTACAGAATATCTGAAACTCATTGTTAGGGTGGAAACATGTATTTGTAGCTTGAGGAAAATTACTTGCACTTAATGTTTGTTTTATGCTAATGCACTTGATTAAATTCTGAAATACAAAGTGTTATATTTCATGTGAAGTGAATCATTAGAATGAGAACTTCCATGTTCCAAGTGTTAATCGGAACATTACTAGCTTCTTACATCTAGCTACTCAGTGGCATTCAGGCACTTGACCCTTAATTCCACTAAATAACTTTTTACTTTTACTTACAAACTTACCTATATATATCACAAATTAATGCTGCTTTACAATTGTGTGCATTTGTTAGCTTCAGATGGCCAGAAGTGGAACTCCCCACATGCTGGTTTGGGGGGAGAAACTTTAAACACTTGGAAATTAAATACCAAACACAGTAAAGTATTGTGATTATACTCAAGCTTGAATATTTCTAAAGTGTTTCAAAAGTTTGGATTTTATTTCTCATTTCTTTTTTCCCCTTTTTTTTTTTTTTTTTCCTCTTTTCTTTCTTTCCTCCTAGGAAGAGCATACATGTTTATTGTATAAATCTGAGTCTAACGTTCTTCCTTCCCCTGTTCACACATTATGGTATACTAAGCATTTCTTCATGTTTGCTTTTCCTTTTCAAAAGGAATAAGAACATTTTTATGAAGGAGCAATAGCACTTGTACTCTGGCTGGCTTTATCATAATGAAATTGTACTATACACTAGTCTTTTGTATTATTCAGGGCTGCATGGAAAAAATAAAACCAATGGTAAAGGATGGTGTTTATTTCATGTATGAAGCTTTACACGGACCACCAAAGAAGATCTTAGTAGAAGGTGCAAATGCAGCACTTCTGGACATAGATTTTGGTAGGTATAACCTTTTTGAGACACACGTTGCTGTGTACTTACATTGTGAAAGGGCACACTAAATATAAACTCTTCCATGATTAGCTGCTTTTATGGCATAAGTGTTTTGTATTTTAGAAGAACAGTACTCTCTATGGCTAGCAAATAATTAGAGAGGGGTAAAAGTTTTTAATTAAATTCTTTCAAAAAGCTTTAGATTAATTATTTGAATGACAGTACAGATCAGGTGACTTTTCTTAGAGTGTAGCTATTACTTCAGTGTCTATAAATGTCATATACAACTGTGAGTTATTTCATACATCTATGCAAAACACTTCAGAAGAAAAACATGAGAGTTTTGAGAGGCAAAGTATATATGCAAAATACTTGTTAACTTTTGAAGAATCAACTTGCATATTTTTTTTTTAAACCCTTTATATAATACGTAGTTTTCCGCTGTTTGACGATGTACGGAAAGATGTTGGGGATCTGCATTGTCAATGAGGCAAGAGTGAAAAGATTATCCCAAACAATTCAAAATTATAAATGGTGCATTTTTTCTTAAAGCACTGTAATTTTTCTAATAAAATGAGAAGCTTGTTGATAGAAGCAGCTTTTTAAAATGAGATTATTGTTTGTTATCATTATATTGTAAAGACAGATAAGTTGTTATACCTCTTTATAGGCATAACCAGCCTATATGATTGGCTCCTGCATTTTGTCAGGTTTTCCTTCAGTCTCACTAGCCTTGTAACTGCATCATTTTTATTGATGGAAAGGTGTTTAAGTCTGAAATTGAAGCCTGTAAGAACTACTGCCAAACCTAAGGATTTTGAGATGTTTAATTTTTAACTCTCTTTGTCTTTGCTGTCCAGGCTGCTTTTTAAATGAGGCCTGAATATTTAACTAGAGACAAACTTTAATGAACTAGACTATATTCCTGGAATCGTTCTCTTTGTTTTCTTTAATTGTGGAAATATTTTCTTCCATTTGATTATGTAAGCAAAATTGTTCTTTCCAGAATTTTACATTTCTTTGCAATTTCTTACCATTATAATGTGCTGATCATTTTCTAGAACTTGTATTTTATTTTTTTCTCCCAAAATGAATACTGGTAAACCTGTATTTTCTAACCTTTTAATACCATTTTCTTAATAGTGTCCCTTCAAATTTTCCCATTGTTCTATTAGTGAGTATATTTTATATAAGATAGCAAGGCATGGATTTCTGGTGTCTTATTCCAGTTTTTGACTTCTGTGATCATTCAGAATTGTTATATAGTCAACTTTTGCCTCTGTACCCGTTGAAGTGGTAAGATTTCTACCTTTTTCAATGAAGAAGGATCGGAAAACATACACACAAAGCTAAGAGCTCATTAAATGTGTTCTTCACTGCAAAATAACGTTTATTGTGTGTTTTGTTTTGGTTTTTAGTGTTGTAAAACAACACTAAGGTAAGTTCAATGCAAGTACTATTCCTCTCCAGGTTACATTTATTATTTTTTTACTAGTTTAAAACTAATGTTTTAATAAGTTTTTAAAATATTTTTTTTTAATAGGCACATACCCTTTTGTGACTTCATCAAACTGCACAGTTGGAGGTGTGTGTACAGGTCTGGGTATGCCACCACAGAATGTCGGGGAGGTGTACGGAGTTGTGAAAGCATATACAACGAGAGTTGGAATTGGTGCCTTTCCTACAGAACAAGATAATGTGAGTATTATCGGCCCTAGATGTGATCTGTAACTGGGTGACATAACTTGGTGCATCCGTCTTATGTTAAAACAGTGTTACTAGTTAAATGCAAGTAGAGACAGTGTGTTTGGATGTCTCATTCTTCAGATTCTAGACTGAGCTTACAGGATTGACAAATCTGATTGTCAGTTTCTCAGACCTTCCTATGAAATAGAAGGTGAGAGCAGGAACAAGTTTTGAGAGATTTGCTGAAATAGCATTCTCTTGAATTAGAAATAGCACTTTGTATTTCTATTTTCATCGCAATGGACAACTTTGTGAAAAATTGGGGGAAGAACTTTTAAGGTAATTTACACTATTGTAAAGTGTTGTTAAGTACACACCTGTGTCATGTATTGCAAATTAAAAAAAAAAAAGTCTCATGTAATAGTATTACTCTCTGTTAGGAAATTGGAGAATTGCTACAAACAAGAGGTAAAGAGTTTGGTGTTACCACTGGTAGAAAGAGAAGATGTGGCTGGCTGGACCTTGTGTTACTCCGATACGCCTACATGATTAATGGATTTACTGCGTGAGTTATTTTGACAGCTTTGCTGGCAACTTGACATAAAATCATGAAATGCTACAGGTTACTGCAAATTGTACATATACTAGTTAGTAACATTTGGACTGTGAGTATTGACTTGTTGATTGTTTTGATATTTTGATAAATGAACTGTCCCTCATTTTTCCTAGCATTAAATGTTTTTATGTTTGACATTTTCATACTTGTAAATTTCTTTCCTTTACTTGTAGCATATTGTTATTTCTCATTTAAAATGATCCAAGAAGCACTTATGTATCCTAGTACTTGATTCTTCAAACTACCCTAATTCCTGCCATCCCACCAAACCCAAACCAAATCAAATGCATTACAAAGGCCTTAAAACCGGATATAGTTTCTGGGGTTTTGTTTTGTTAGTTTGTTTTCAAAATAAGACAGATAAGATCAGTATCTTCAGCAGTATGTGTAAATGTAGAAAATTTGGATATGACTTTGGGATTTTAATTAAAATGAAAAATAGGTATCTGAAACAAAACTGGCATAAAATTTCTAGTAGATCAAACTGTAATACATGCTTTACTTAAATTTTCCTGGTTTTCTCATCCTTTGTGTTTTTTATTTAAAATAGGATACATCCAGGTATTTACAGAGCCAGTGTTTGATTAGTTTGCTGCCTGTACTGTAGGACAGGAACAGACAGCAACAGATATCATGCTATGAAGCCCTCTCAAATGAATGGTCATAAAGTATCTTGGCAGCATCCTGACTGATTAAAATTCTAACACTTAAAGCTATAGACAAGTCACTTTAATTGGAGAATACCTGTTCTTTGCATTTTGCCATTTTCTCTTAGTGCTAGATCTAAGGACACAACAAAAAGGCTGTTTAAGTTTTTGTCTTTTTTTTTTTTTTTAATCACACCAGATAAATAGATTAGTGCCGTAGGAGCTATTTTTCTAAGGAAAGACAATTGATCGCAATGTGCAGGAGTCAGTTTTTCTTTTGGCATTTTTACAGTGGGATTAGAGTTGAGAGTTGTTGAACTTGTTTAACCAGAGTAATGTTTCTTTACAGATTGGCACTTACCAAATTGGATATCTTGGATGTATTTCCAGAAATCAAAGTTGGTGTTGCATACAAACTAGATGGTGAAATCATACCTCATTTTCCTGGTAAGATTGCTTGTTTATCAATTTTAGATTTTGGTGAAATGTAATCTGATACAAGTAAAAGTCAAATGCATTTAAGTAAAATTTATGACAGGAATGTGTTACTTCAGCATCAAGCCATTAATTTCTTCTCAGATGCACCAGAGACACCCTGTACCACACCTGTACCTGCACCCTAAGGACACCTGCACCAAATACTGTCATTTGTCTACTAGAAAGATGCAGAGTGCTACATAAAGCTTCTTAAATGTAAATGTTGTTACTGTTTTATCCTTTTTCTTTAATACAGACTGCATTAGCTTCAAGCTGAATTGGATGCTCATTTCACGCTCTAAACCCAGTGTCTTATTCCCACTATTGTATTCATCCCCTCTTCTGGCAGGACAGGTTTTCATTTAAGCGTGCAGTGAACCACATGGGAGAACCAATCCAGTTGAAAAGCCAAGTTTTTCTCTCCCTGTGTTGTTTTTCTAACAGTTCAGTTCCCTTTAATGGTTCGCAGAGCAGCCAAAAACCTGACACATCTATGCAATGGAAAAGAGGGGAAAAAGGGTGAGGGAGGAAATGAGCAATTAGTTCAGGTGAAAGCAAGGCTATTTTCTAATGCACAGCCAACATACATCAGCTTAGCATGATAGAAACTATAGCTCCTGAAGAGGACAGTGGTCATTTTACTGATCATTTTTACCTGAAAATTGTATCTGCATGTTAAAATATTCAAATATCACAAAACATTTCAGGGATAATGCATCTCTTTCAGTTTGTCGTAGTAGGGGTACTCCAAAAAAAGGAAGAAAATTAACCAGTACTAAAGACTGAGCTTTCTGAGTTTCTAATGTGCGCATAGGTGCTTTGTTTTCATTTTAATTGCTACCTCAGGGTTTGAGGCTGGTCACAGGTTACAATTCTTCAGATGATATCATCATCAGAGAACCTTTTGTGGGTGAGATCATCAACTGTGGTAACCAGATACAACTCACAGCTGGATTTATGTAGTATAAAGATGTAATTATGTATAAAGGAATAAGTGATGATCTGCCAGTAGTCCTTGAAAATAGCACATATCTGTTGGGGAAGTTCATAAAGAATTAATAAAAAAATCTTCTGTTTCTCCATGTACCTGATGGAGCTCTGTAATTAATTTGCCCTCCAGCGTCTTCAAACAAAAGTGACAGTTACAATCTGAATGCATACTGAATGACATGGCATGCACTTCTATTCAGGAAATTTAGTAATTGTCTTGCACTAAACCAGGGAATGCTTTTTCCTTTTTAAGACTCAGATATTCCCTGATTGATACTGTTATCAAAATATTAAAGAAATTTGTGTGTACTTTAGGTGGCCTTTGAGCATAATGGAGATTGCACGTTTGAATTGAGAGCTACTCAGTACATGTTTCATCTGTAGCCCTGTCATCTAACCTGGGGGCTATTTGGACTGTCTTGTGCTCAAGCCAGGAGGACCTTCTCTGGCAATCTGTCGCTAAAGTTGACATAAACACGTGGCCATGTTTTACAGTACTAAGACTTCAGTGATTACTTCCCCCCCGGCCCACCATTTATTGTGTCTCACATGGGACCAAAATCTTGTTACAACTCCTGAGGGTGGATTTTGGTCCCTGTATATGCCCAGATAACAGGTAGCTGACCTTTGGTCATGGCAGCACAACGTGGCTCACCTGCCTATTTTTATTTACTGTATGAACAATTAAGAATTCTGGTAGAAATTTAGTAGAAACTGTTGACTTTGCTGTTGACGTGCTGTCTTCCTTAAGTGTCAGGAAGGAGTTTGAGCTGAACTTCTGGTAAGCTGGAAGATGCTGTCTCTCACAGTGCCTCTGTGTTCCACGCCTCTCTCTTTGCTATACTCCTCAACATTTGGCAGCATTTTCAGCACATATGCTGCAGGTTACTTATTACCCCTGCCCCTGGCATAAAAACCAAAAGGTAACTTTCTTCCCACTTTGTGTTTTGTGGACAATTAGATTATTTCTGATGTCAACATCTCTGCATGCTGCGCACTTGTATAATTTATTTTTTTTTTAAACTTGCCACTTTGGCATTTTGAATTTAATTTAGAAGACATCTAGTCTGGGAATCTCTCACTGGCAGGGTATTTCTTTCTCTCTCTCCTCCCCATCCTCCCACTCTCTTGGAGATGTTAGTGATTTACCCTTCTTGTGAGATGACTGTCTCTAAATTAGAAGCACACACAGTGCCCACCATCTCAGGAAAAACATGCCATATTTCATATATTGTTGCTTTTTCCAGCTGGATCAGAGAATCATACGAGCCTCACTCAGGTTTTTTTAGCTTAGGTTTCTGTGGGCATTTCATAATCTTCTGTTAAGAAAGAACTGAAAATGTCTTGTAAATTTACAGCTGACTTCAGTTGGTATCGTTGAAGCTCTAGTCTTTTGCTATGGAACTGGCCACTATCTCCATTTCTGTTCAGTCATAGGAGTTTATTAAAGAAAGATAGAAGTCCCTGCTAGCTGTGAGCTGATCAGTTTACAAGGAATGCGAAAGCCATGATCTAGTCCTGCTAGTGTCTCCTGTCCAAGTTCAGGCGTCAGTTGATCTCAGCACAGACCCACAGACCGACACAACCTCTAGCTCAGGAGACTTCAAAAACACAGATCCTTACGAAATTGGAGCAGCTTTACTTCATGCTTGCTCCCCCTGCCCCACCCCGCTCCTGCCTGCTCTTTCCCTGAGCATCTGCTGTAGATTAAAGAGCTAGTGCACTGTGCTAGATGCACCTTTGGTCTGAGCCATATGACTGGTTTTATGTTCAGTTTCTGGAAATTGTTGGAGGATCTTTCTCTTACAATGGTGCCAAGATCCCAAATCTCAGCTATTCTTTTTGAGTTGGAAGTAACATCACATCATTCCCTCTCCAAATTATAGTGCCAGACTACCAGATATTGTGATATCTGCTCTCTCTGTTATCTAATTCAGCTGTTAATAAGGAATATTCCAGAAACCCTAAAAGATAAATCCCCTAAGGGAAGAGCTGAGAGAAATCTAGATGGTGACTAAATCTGTTACTACACTGAGTTCAGTTTATGGGCTATCTTTGCCACACATCATCTTTTATTAAACCTGCTGGAGCGAAATGAGAGAATCATTTGAAGCATCAAGAAATTTATCCCTTCTTTTTCTTCTTCTCTTTTGTGGAAGTAAGGAATTAAAATAACACAGAGTAATGGAAGATTGTAGACAGAATTAGACCATTCAGTTCTAAGTGCTTTCAGCTTTCTCCCAGCTAGCCTCATCAGAGAGGCTTCAAAGTAAAAATGCCTGTGGATTAGGTGTTCAGTCACTTTCTCTCTTCAGAACGAGGGAGGCTAGCATGTTATTCTAGACCATCTGCAATGCCCAGAGATTAGTTTGTGGTTTTGCGCTTTGAACATAGCTATACTATTTTGCAGATCACCTGGACAGTAGACAATACCCCAGATGTCTGCTGTCATGCTGATGACAGTAAAGAAAGTGCTTATCCTTGGCCTCTGCAACCCAGCATCCTTAATGTGCCTGTCTATTTGTCCTGATTACAACAAGTATTGATTAAGGATCATTTGCATTAATCTGTGAACACCTCAGTCCAAAAATTGTCCATTTCTTCACTGTTGTAGGCTTTAAAGTCAGTAGAGCATAGTCCTCTTTCACCCTTACTCAGAATGCCTGGTACATGAGGGCTGTCCTTACAACATCGCTACAATTGAACTCTTACCTGCGCCAGGACAAATTACTCAATATGCTGAGCCTGAATTTGTTGGCTACACGCACGTTGGAGGGGATTAGCTACAGTTTTGTATTTGCATCTCTACTGTGCATCTTGCGCCTAAACCCCTTTCCCAGGTTGACTAGCTATCTTTGCAGGAGTGACTTGAACTGAGACATGGAGCCTACATAACATTAATTACAGTGCCTTTGGCAGAACCCTTCTTTTTCAGGAAGGCAAGAATGCCTGACACCTCCCAGTGTATTTTTTTGTCAATGTATTTTCACCATTTTCAGGCTTAAGGCTTTTGTTTCGCTGCCCAGTGTCATTCGAAGACTAATGTTCAGATAGTTACTGGAATGATTCAGTTCCAGAACAGTGTGCTTAGCATCTTTTCCAGTACTTGAAATCATCACAGGATTCAGAGTTAATGGACAACATTGTACCAAGTTACTAAATGAAGGACAAAATGGAATATACTCATTGCTTCTATTCTAAGAAGTAATTGGAACAGTTGCTGTTCATACATCATGTGGGACTCCACACTGGCTGACAAATTCATTTTAGAGTTTTGGGGCAAAGGGTCTGTGGGCATCAGAAGTACATTATTTATAGACTGCATCTTATAACTATGTTTAGTAAAAAGTACACTCCTGTGACACTTTAAAAAAATGTTTTAACTGCCTGATACTTACAAGCTGATGCCTAATTTTGTTTTCACATCACCAAATTCCCTTATGAAGGGGGAGTTGGATCTTGGTATTTGTTCAGAAAAAAAAAAATCAACATTTTGGGGAATTACTTTTCCTGGAAAACTGTTTTCTGAACTGAAAAGACTGTGGTTTAAGCAAAATACATGCATGTGACTCTGAGTCCTAAAGTGTAAGTCGTGATAGTTACTGGATTTTTTTTTTTTTCTCTTCTTATATTAACAAAAAAGGACACTTCAGCACCTTCAGTGCTGGTACGTTATCTTATGAGTAAACCTCTGTGTATAAGAAAAGAATAAAAAGCTTTACAGTTATGCTTTTAGAGAGAGAGAATATGTAATCTTGGTAGACATAATATATTCGTTCCTGTTTGCTTCTCAGCCAACCAGGAAGTCTTAAATAAAGTAGAGGTTCAGTATGAGACACTCCCAGGATGGGATACGGACATATCAAATGCAAGGACTTTTGATGAGCTGCCTGTAAATGCACAAAATTATGTTCGCTTTATAGAAATGGAGTTGGGTGTTCCTGGTAAGTAAAACAGATCTCTTTTTTTTGTTTTGTTTTCTTGTACTTTGCCTTAATGAACATTCAAAATATTGAAATATTAAAAACTAGTTTGCAGCTGTGCTTATTCTCATATACCTGGTGATATTTGTAATTATTGTTTTACTTCTTTTTATCTATCTATATAGCTGTTGAATTGAAAACTTTCAGAAGTTTTAATATGCATTCTTTCTTTGGCTTATACTATAGTTCTTGTTCAACTGAGATTTTTATAGCTTGCTTAATTGTTTTTCAGATTATTATAATAGAGCTTTAGTTCTGCTGCCATTATAAAGTCATTGGGACTAGTGGTATATTAATGTGATTAAATATGTGACACTAAGAGGTCCTAAACTAGCAAATTTCTCTCACGCTCCCTAATAAAGGTGATCCTGTGGTTCCATCCAAAGCTGGGACTTAAGAGATGATGCAAATCTTTACTTTTCTGACAATTTCTTTGTATCTTTTTTTCCTATGATCTGGAAAACTAATTTATTTATTATGGCAGCTTCAAGACTTATCCTGCTTTTCTAACTTACCAGTGTGTTCTTACTTTGACAACAATAGACAGTTATTGTTTCTTAATGTACTAGTAGTATATGCTGCGTTTTTCTTCAGATTATGGTACTTAAGATCTTAAGCACTTAAAAACATAAGTCTGTATCTTACCTTGAGATACAATCTGATCTTGCTTTGTATTACTTTTATTAAAAGTTTGCTTTTCTCTCCTGCAGTTAAATGGATTGGAGTAGGGAAATCCAGGGAATCAATGATCCAGCTGTTTTAAAGATTTCAGATGCATGGAAGAAAGCACACTCCTCAAAAGACTGCTCATTCTTAAATGCATTAGTAGCCCGCAAAGCAAAGATGTTGGAAAGATAGATTGTTGCATGGAAAGAAATGCTAGAGTTGATACCCCCAAATCAATCGCTACTCCTGAAAGAGACTTTAACATGAACCTGTATCAGTTCTTGTTCAACTGCAGTTTCCAAGACACTTGTCATTTGTTGTTCAAGGTGCCATCAGATTTTTTTTTTCTTTACCTAATATTTACTTCATAATGTAATTCCTGTTTGAAAATCTAAGGTAGTAGCATTACTTTCATGACTGTTTGTCCTTGTTATCCTCTCTCTGCTTTTGGCGGTGTTACTTCCCTGAAATTTTAGACAGTAAAAATAATGCAGTTTTGCACAGATAGTTTTACATCCTCATTATTTGTATTCCTAAAGCTGTTGTATTCTTAATGGCTGCTCTTGTCAGTGATTAAAGAGGGGGGATTCTGATTTTATAATGCTATAAATGCTGTCTAAATTATTGTGTGATCTGTTTTTTAAAAAAAGATGTGATGCCAAGTCGTTAAGAATGTCCAGGTTTTTTAGCCATGTAACACAGAAAACTTACTCTTTGTAACTCACAGAGGACACTCAAGTGTTACCAGGAAGTGTGCCCAGAAAGTTAGAAAATTGATATTGTAAAAAGTTCATTTGCGATTATTAAAGAACTGTTCTGATTTTTGAGTTAAATGTTTGATAATGTTACTCATTTTTTTTCTGGTATTTTAAAAACCCTGCACTTCTCTACTTCCAAGAAACTGTTCTCAAACCGTTTCCCTAATTAAATGAGGTTATATTTGCTAAGAAGTCTAACATTTTGATGCCCTTTTAAATTCCTTTCTACATAGCCAATAGAAGACCTTTCTCTGGAGAACTGGCAAAGCACAGACACTTTTGTAATTATAAATTGAAGATGCTTTAGAAATAGCATTTAAAGTATTCAATGTATTTGCTTTAGATGTAGGAAAATAGCAAGTATTCACCTCATGACATCTGACATATTTTGGCTTATTAGTGTTGGGAAATGTTCTAGATTTTTTTTTTAATTTGTAACCATTATTATATATTCCAAAGAATCTTGATTTCTTTTGGCAACAACCCAATACTTGCATATTCCCTTTCCAGATTTTTTGAGAATGACTTTGTTTTTACACACTATACTATGGTATTCATGTGCTTCCTTCTCACTTCAAATAAAACTTACTTTGTTTCATAAAAAAAGCTTGTATCGGGGTGGAGCAGTAGTTCTAGATTTAGTTTAGTATATTTCAGCAATGCAGGTGAATATAAGAAACTTCTAATGCAAAATAAAAGATACGAGGCCTTTGAGATTATGTCTTAGGTAACCAGGTGTTGCCTGAAATGGAGTAGATTTGTTGGATTGATGCTGCTGCTGCTGAAACATGAGAACAATGTTTATGTTCTCAATTGACATAAAATAAAATTGCTTATCATAAGGGAACAGGAGGGCTCAAGAATAAAACTACTGATATTTAAGGAGCATTTTCTACTGCATTGTTTGCATGTGACAGTGGTTAGCAAGGTGTGTACTTTTCTTGTGCAATATGTGGAAAGAGGAGGATACCACAGAATGCTGGAAAACTGGCAAATACATTGAGAGACCTTTGTATTAGCATTGCATGTAAAGATCATTCTCCTCAGCATTAAAAACCAAAAAACTTCATACTCGTTTTTTTCTGGAGGGGATGAGGGTCTAATTTTGCTGTCAGCTTCACTGTCTGGGAGAGAACCATACCATCCCTCCCTAGCTAAGGGCCATCTTGAAGTATAAAACTCTTCCTAATTCCCTGATGAAGAGAAGGAGGGATATAGCTGTGTGAAACATAACTTCCAATCTTCATTAAGAAGGAAGAAAAACAATGTTGCTATTTTCTAGGTCATGGAGAGAATCGACCTTGCAATGTGAACAATAGGTAATAATTACTAAGTATTCTTGTCTTCTTGTAGCTGTAGGAGGCACCGAGGGGATTTGTGCTGTCAGTGAAACTAGCAGCCAAGGACTGGGGGCCTTGCTGGCTCAAGGAGTGAGTAAATAAATAAATGAGGGCATGCTTTCCTTCTACAGCGAATGAATAAATGAGGACTTACTATGTAGTTGTATTTCACTCCTGCCAAGGAGAGACCTTCAAGTTTCGATGGAAACAGGCCTGTTTCAATTCTTCCACGGTGCAAACTACCTTTGATTTTCAGTTAAGGAATTCATATTCCCAGATGCAACAGGATTTCTAAGCAATACAGCTATAGCCTAAAATGACAGAAAGTATTTGTGCAGTTCAAGAAACAAACCAGAATTGTCTTGGATGCAAGAGTGATTTATGTTCTTTTGCGTTCTTTTAAGTGCAGCTGATTCAGTTTCTTTGATTGTTCCACTCAAGTGCAGACCTGGAAAGTTGAAAACATCCTCCTGCCAGTACTCGTCCAGATAATGCGTAGTCCAGGATCTGTTTGTGTATATTTACTCTCATAACCTGGAACGAAGAATTTTTCTCTTTAAATTTCTGGTGGTTAAACTTAGCATCTGTAAAGCTTATTATGTTGTCCCTGAGTGCCGGTTTCATATAGGCTTTGCTAGAGTAAATTCTTGGGCTGGTACACAAACACTTTCCTGGTGTTATAGAATGGTTATATTCTGCCAAATTCTCCCCTCCACCAACGCTACTCCTTTGTACATATGGGGAAATAGGCCCATGTAAAACCATGGAGCCAAGGAGGAAGAAGAGAACAGCTGCCTAATACTGTACCATGAGCAGGGTGTTTAGCAGGGGCAGTGTTACATGTCTTTCAAGGCACTTGTAGTTTTTTCTCTAGCCAAAATTCACTGTTCTGCTTTCTCCCCCCCCGCCCTTCATTAATCACGAGCCCTTTGGCCTCAAAGGAGTTGCCACACTCATTGGCAAAAGCCTGTGACAACTCATTGGTTGTCTGTCACAGACTAGTAGTAAGCTGTAACTAAAAGGAAAAACCTTTGTACTTCAATGACAAGCATGTATTTATCAGGCCGTTCTGTATACTCCCTTCTTCTGTGAAGTTTCTTCTGTTGCTAGCATGTAAGAGAGGATGGCAGCATAGGCTAGGAGTTGAAATTGATTCTTCTCCAAGTGTCCCCTCCCGCTGATGGGATGTTTACAGGAGGCACGGTTACCTGTTAGATCTGGCAAGGCTGATGACAGACAAGGTATTTTGATCTCAGGCCATTCTTGCTGCCACTGAAATATTTATGAGGTTGATTCTCCTAGGCTTGTGCTGTACTGCAGCATTTAATAGCCCTTATGTCCCTACGGTTTATTGAGTCTCCTTTACTAACTAATAGGAGGGGAAGTGAGGGATACTTCTGCTGCTTAGCCTTTCCATTTGTATTCCATGTGTAATTGGATTTTGGCACGTAGCTAATGGACAAAACCTTCAGACAGAGTGGCAGGCAGATAACAGTGATGTAATGCATGGCAGCTGCTTTCGTCTATCATCATCCTGGAAATCTACTTTCTAATAGAACATTATAGTTTCCTTTTGCTGTCACAGCCAGCTCCCTTAATGAAACATAATCAAAGGTTTGACTGGTTTAGAAAAAGTAAAAGGCAGAGACGTTGGGAATGAAGATAAGGGGCAACTCAATCTGATGAGTTTTCTCGCACCTGTACTGTTCCTAGTCTCTGTGAAACGTAATAAACCTAGTGGTATAGTAATCAAGCAGACTTCTTGTAGTGTGTGACAGCTTTACCTGCTTAAAGCAGACTGCTGTGCATGCGTACATAGATGATGCATTATTTGCAGAGACTTAAAATTTTACAGCATTTTTTGTTGGTCTGAGTGTTAAAACTCATTTGACATGTCATCTTTAAAATACTTTGCAATAAATACGCATTCAAATATCTTCAATTTAACTTTAAACAGGTAATGTTGAGTTAAATCCTAATGTTCTTCACTGCCACTTTTGAACTATTAAATCAAGTGTATCAGAGCAATGTATTTTCTTACACTCTGTTGGGTTTTTTTCAGTGATGAATCAATTTGTGCATACATCAAGGTGCTTACTCTTTAGCTCCTTCGATACACACTACTGGCATTATCCACAGTGTGTTTTGAGTAACTATTTTTAGATAACAGTTTGCACAAGTACAAAGAGTTTGCCTTGTTCATTGGTTGCCTTCTGCATATTATGGAGGGAGCTGGGATACCTGAGTGTTGGTAGTGGAGAGACGGTGTGGCTTTGGGGGACAGGTAGCAGCTCTTTTTTGGGAAAAGTGAGATGACTTTTCACTTTTTTCTCAGTGCATTTTAGGACTAGTTTGTTTACAGCAGAGCCAACCTTCCTATAGCAGGAAACACAGCATGGGTGACTTACTTGTGTTGAGATACAGCAAGTCAAATGCTGCTTTGTATGAAGTTTGATTGTACCAGTCGCTGGTGGTCTTTTCCGTTATTTTTTGAAAATGCACATACTTCCTGAGAGCTGAATTGTCGAAGTCAGGTTGGAATGGAGTTTCAGCTTCGTAGTTTACTGGAGCCAGTTGCAGTTTACTGAAAGGTCTGGGCAAAAAGCATAAATCATTCTGTAATCTCATGCTGACATATGGTATGTAAATACCACGATCCACCCAAAGGGGCATTAGAAATGTACGTTCTAATCTCCTTCTGAAATGAGCGCTCAGTATAATGCAGCTGTAATCTAATAGATATTAACAGCCTGAGAATGTACAGTAAGACCTTAATAATTCAGTATTGTTCGATTGGCTCCATCTGACTTGTAATTAGCACAATAAGGGTTGTGCCTCTTGCAGTCAAGCAACTAACTGCATTAGTTTAGTATTACTAGAATTTTTAAAGCCTTGGCTTTCCAACAGAAATAGCCTACAACATTTTAATTATTTTTTTTTAAAATTAAACATGTTTTGAAGTTGATGTGCAGTACAATAAATTTTCATAGGGAGGAAAAAACCCAGCATATTTTTAAAACAATTTCCATTCTAGATTCTGATATACATAATAATTTCAGGTCATGCAGCACTCCTGGTATGGCCAAAAACTTTTGGATGTAGTTTTGGTTTACTCTGCCTGGATTCTCTTGTTCCTCTTTTAGGCCAAAGTCATAAAAAAACATTAGAAATTGTTGCAACGTTGCCTGCAGTAGGCATAAAAGAGCAAGGCTTGTTCCACAGGTCTAACTGGTTTACTCTGACACACAAGCTTACCCTGGAGCTCCTCTGGATGCGTGTGCCTTGTGGACCCGTCCTACTTGCCCCAGGTAGAAACCACAGACATCCTTTCCAGGACGAAAAACTGAGCTGACGAAGGAAGGGAGTAGAAAATGGTGAAGGTACAAGCAGGAGACTAGAGAGCAGGAATCCCACCCAAGCTGTGTAAAAGCAATTTTTTTTTGGTATGGCAGTTATGGAAAAGAAGTATTTTTGACCCAGTACAGAATTTAGAAGCAAAGAAGGCAATGACC